TTCAAAAGCTGTCCCTTTTATCTTCCTTTGAATTCATTAATTATAGATCCACCACATGATTTATAGATACCAATAGAGATGGAGTTGGAAATGACTCATGCTGGGAACTTCTAGCGGCCTCCTGTTGAGTAGCTTGGATGCTGTTAAATGTTCCATATTATGAAGAAACGTGAAGACTGAGGAACAAGCACTGTGTTCCCGGAAATTCTACAACTGTGTATATTCTCTCTAAAAATTAACATTTTAGTCCTTTTAAAATAGGGGGATTGCTTGTATTAGCAAAAAAAAAAATTTTTCTTATACTTCATACTAAACAGTGTAGATCATGAAATTCTGCATTTCTCAGAGGGAGCATTCCAAATTTCCTAAGCACGCCAGAATCAAATTACTTAAATTATGGCTATTTCATATTCTGAGTGCATGCATTTGCAATTAGCTATGTCAGGCATTTTTCTTTCATTTAATTTCATCATCATCAAGTAGTATTTATTAAGCACAAACCTGGCTAATTAATTTTCTAGAGAATAACAGGTATTCTTATATTCATTCTCCCTATTTAAGAGACCTTAAATAATCTGATATGTGACATTTTTTCCCTTAGCAAAAACTGCCTTTAAATTTCAATTTTTACCTTATTATTTCAAGGTTTCATAGGACATATTCTACTCCCAAAGTCTATATATTTAAATAAAAAAATGTCATTCAGAATTAATACAATAGATTCCATGAGAATTTTATTCTTACTACAGCATACTAATATTCTATCTTGATTGTTTTAAAATATCACTATCCTAGTCATCTATTTTTCCTAAAAGCAATTCATTTTTAAGGTAGAAAAATAAGAGAAATAAGCAACTTAAATTACTATAATCAATAGTTGCAAAAAAAGCATTTTCTCCTTAAAAATTCAGTTAATATAGTTTACGAAAAGCAAAGTGAAAGAAAGCAAATGAGGATGAGAATACTGAATGTCTTCAAACTGATTATCAAGACTTTATGTGTGCTTTACTGGAGGAAAGGAAAAGCTAGTTTTTTTATGTGGATTTGGAGAAAGGAGAGTATTTTTCTCAAGGTACCTTTTTTTTCTAACTGCAGCAAAGACATTACTCCTTTCTTTTCACTTACCAGTAACTATACCATCACATTCACTATAAATTCCAATCACAAGACTAAAATTTTAGAGAAGCGTCGTCATGAACATCACAATTCCGCTCAGTTCATGGTTCATAAGAAGTTAACTCATAAACTTATTCGCAGTATATTTTGGTTCTGGAAGCAATTACACTGTACTTCAGGGACAAATGCCCAGTAAGAAGGACAGACACTACAAGAAAACTACCAATAGGCAATGTCTGTTACTGTTGAAGCATATTAGCGTTAATACTCAGTCGTATGTGGCTATGAAGGTCAATGGTCACTTTGTATGGTGAAAGGCGCAGCTAAAAGTGATGCTTCAGAAGGGTCCACAAAGGACTCCCTGGCCTGAAGCAAATGCTGTGTCCTGACACAAGTGGAGAAGAAGAGTTTCTAGGATTTACTTCTTGATATGCAGACTGGAATTTAAATATTAATGAGATTAAGCATTTGAGTAACTCTGAATAGAGTTAAAATATTGTTCAGTGTGCCCTTAGAGTGACAGAAATTCACTTCCAAGAGAGAATCCTAAAGTAGCCAGATACTCTTATTTTCCAACAGAGATTTACATCTCCAAAGACATTTACTTCCTCAAATAAGAGAGGAGATGATAGAAATCAGTAGCCTGAGAGGTAAGTTAAAAAAGGAAAAAAAGAAAGAAAAAAGAGGGAGGCCCTCAATTACAGTCACAGTCCTTCTGTGGTTTTGCATCTGGCAAGAAGTAGCCTATCTTTGTTTACACCAACGGAAACCCCCAGGAGAATACAGCATACAGAATCCACAGGAAGAATTTGGTCATACTTTTCAAAGTAGTTTAGTTTTCAAAAATCCACCTTCCCTAAAGGGAAAAACACCTTGAGAACCAATTAGTGGTATGAAGGGCCAGGAGAAAAAGATTGTGCTCTGGCAGAAAGATTATTTTGTTGATTTCAGGTAAAAACCTAGGGCCAGATGCTAAAGTAGATGTTCCCCATGCTTATCTCCCCTTTGCCCCAGGGACACTGCAGTCTGTTACATTTGTATCTTCTGAACAGGGACAGGAACAAAGTCTCAAAACAATTTTTGTAAGACATAATCCTGAATCACAGAACAGGTGGCAATTTTCTGAGGAATAACAGTGGATTATTGGAAGAGCAGAAGAAGATAGAAAAATACTTTCTCCCTCTTTTTCTGGTTAAGCAGATGTCTTGTGAGCAAAGCTTAGTCCTCTACCCTTTACACTGCAAAAAGTAAACAAGACAAATGGATACTAAACCTTCACAATAAGGCTAAATTCATGATTGATGCCTCTTACTGTTTAAAATCAGCTATAAATATGCTGTCCAGTGGTTTTTAGTGGTGTGATTGTCTGACTCAGCAGACCAGTGTCAGGAAAGAAATTTACATAGATGGAAAGTGAAATCTTTCTGCAAGAAACAGGACTGTTAGAAACTGCTTAGGTAAGGAGATGCTCACTTACGCAAACATGGATATACATATTAAACCTGCTCTCCAGTATCTGCTTGAGCTTAAGTTATTGCCCATAAAAGAGCTAAGATGTTTGCTTTTAATTTCCAAAAATTCATTTCAGTTCCAATTTTACTTGGAATAGATTCTGCAAATAGAACTGTCATTAGGTATAAGAAGAAGAATATCAATCTTGTATCCACAAACATGACCAAGACTTATTCTTTAAACACAGCACATGTTTAGATGGCTTGGCTAAGGATGACAAGCATAACACCAGACAACCCCACGGCAATGGCCCTTGATGTCTAGGAATATGGATGGAAGAGCTGAAGGAGGCTTCACGGCACTGTAACGTAGCACAGGATCTGAAGTCAGACTGCCTGAGTTCCAATCTTAGTTTAAGCAATTCCTGGGTATGTGGCCATGGGAGAGTCACTAACCACTGCAGTTTCCCTATGATGGAATGGCATGCTAATAACTCGGGGTAGATATGAAGAATATATGTATCCAGCATATATTAAGCACTAAGCACAATGAATGGGAACTGCTGCTGTTGTTAATATTACCGTTATTTTCCTTTTGCTCCTGGATCTGCATATCTGAGCCAGATTGGAGAGTGTGATAGACTGAACGACTGACCCCAATTTTTCACCTTTCTCTGTACTCATGTCTTTGCCACAGCCTCACCATGGGTGGACTGTGTTTCTCTACCCCTTGACCTTGGATTCACCTCTATTACTGCTTTGGTCAGAGGCACATGTGTGCACATCGTGTGTATGTGTGTGAGTGGAGTAACTGCCGGATCAGTGCCCAGAATTTCAAAGGCTTCACTCTTTGCTGCTGGCCCTCTGACGCCTCAGAGCATTAGAAGAATATGCTCCCCCTAGCCTGCTGGCCCAAGAACTGAAATACGAGGAGCCCACTCAGACCTGTGACAGAGATGTACCAGTCTGAATCTGAATCAAAGCCCCTCCAGCTGTCCTGCAGAGCTATGAGGGGCACAAATTGATGTATGTTGTTGATGTATGTTACTTATTGATGTATGTTACTGAAATTCTGTCATTATTTATTATGCAAAAAAAACCCCTACTGATCCAAAGAGTACATTAAAAAGTTGTCTACCCACAGTGAATTTATTTCCTAAGGAAAACAGCATTAGCTCAGTGTCTAGGTCTGAAACAAAAGTGGGATGAGAAGTAAGAAAAGACAAATGCTTCACCAAAGCCAGGATTCTAGGACTAGAGATGCTCCTGGAAACTTTGCATAGATCTTCTTGGCTTTTATTTAGGGAAGATCATGTTACTAACATCAAGATAATTTTTAAATGGCTAACATTTGTTGAAAGTTTATCATGGGCACTGTGCTAGGCAGTATGCATAAAATAACTCTCTTGGTCCTTCTAAGAGCACCAGGAGGTAGGGTCTATTAGTTTTACTCCTTTTACAAATGAGGACACTGAGGCATACTGAGACAAGTAGCTTGCCCACATTGACAGAGGGTGAGAGTAGTCCGGGCAGGATTCAAACTCAAGAAGCCTCATGGCATGGTATGAGATGATGGTGGTGGGGAGGACAGCTGGTGATAAGCACAGACATGTTTCCCCCACTCAATAACCACTTCACCCCTGCAATCACAGTGTGTGTTAATCTAATCCTTAGAATCGCTGAATTAGGTATTGCCCATAGTCCCGCTCCAGAGATGAAGAAAGGGGAGCCCTGCAGGTCACGCTCCTTGCCCACATTCCCACATGGCTAGCAGTGATGTGCGAATTGGAGGACATGATGATGAAGCTGTGTTTGAACCCAGGCGATGTAGTTAACTATTACACTATGTTAATAGCAATGATCACACTGCTCCCCCAATGGGCAAAGGAAGGATCATGTTCTTTCCTTTCCTTTTTTTTTTTCTGCAAATCTGGAAGCTTTTCCAAGTTCAAAGGCCAACATGCATTCCTGGCACCCTGGCCATCTTCAAGTGTATATCATGTGATCAATGCCCTTTAATTTATACTACAATCATGCTGAGGTTCCACTGAGCTTTCCTTCTTGCAAGAACAATTTCCTTATTTGCTGCCTTCCTGTTGACTTGTTTTTAGTGTTGTTTTTATGATTGTGTATTTTAGGTCACCTAACTCTGTCAGGTAACACATTCAGAGGAATCCTAATGGTAATAAAAGAAATGGGAGAAAGAATATTAATCATGATGGCTTTAGAGAACGATGTCCAGGATATAAAACTAACCCCAGAGAGAATATGAACAGACAGTTGTTGCCCAGATCTATTCACGCATACACTTGCTGCACCTGCAGGAGAGCCTCGTGGTCTCATGTCTTCAGACACCCTCTCTATCCAATTCCCAAACAAATAGCCACATCTCAAGTGCCTTTACATGGACGTGCAAACATCATTCCTACCGACCTTAAAAGCAGCACCTCCGTGGATGATGGATTTGATAAAAATCCCCAAGTCTGTTCCAGTTTCTCGAGATTTGTTCCCTTTCAAGCTCACGCCAAGACCAGCAGAACCTGAATCATTCAGGGGGATCTCGAAGGTGAGTTGCTCAGTTGTTTCCAGGGGGAGTGGGTAGCAGTCAGGCTCTCCTTTCTGTTGAAGTGCACATGGAAAGAGTGAAGGGGAGAAAGCAGATTAGTGTTTACACACAAATGGCCAAGCACTGACACAACAAGATGACTGGACCTCTAGCAGGCTGGTCTCTTCTCTCTATAACGGGCCACCTCCACCACGTCCTCGGGATTGAGAAACGTTCTTGGGAGTCAAATTTGCTGATCATCAACTAAGAGGATCCTTTGGCGAGGTGGAGTCACGCCACTTGAAACGCCCCATAAGTGTTTGGAAATTCAGCAGGATATATTCATTAAAGAGGCTGGATATTACGTACGGGAACTTCGGTACCAGAAAACACCTCAGAGATCATGTGATCCCAATAACTTCATTTTGCAGATGAAGAAACAGATCTTGGTGTAGAAATATGCTCACATTTGAGGACAATATTTGGCTTGTATAATTTAAAACACATCTTTCACATGGAAGCAGTGTTATTGATCAAGATTGTCAACTGGATACAGAGCACTGAAAAAATATTATCTTAAAGTTAGGGAAATATGATTTATAATGAGTATCACTAAATTACATTTCACTTTGTCCAACTCATGCCTCAGGCTTGCTTCTTTGGGTAGTATAACTTAGTGGCAATCAGTTTTTGAACTCAAACAAAAACAATAATGCACAACAAATATTTGTGTGCTCTTTGCCAAATGACACTTGGCCACGAGCACAACTATTCGCAAAAAACAACAAAAAAAATACAGATACATGGCTGTAACAGCCACACTTGGGGTTCAAGTATCCAGGGAGAAGCATAAGGTTAATCATATTTGGCCCCTGATGTTTTCAAATATACAGGAGTGAGAACAGAAAAGTGCTGTCCACAGGATAACCTCTGCAGGTGCCCCTCCTGCGTCCCTCTCCAGCTGGCAGAAATGTGAGATTGGGCCACAGTGTTTAACTGGAAAATTTGAAAATAAGATAGCCCTGGAAACCTTTCAACTCATTCTAGGTCGGTAGTTCTTCCTGTCTGTAATTATGTCTAGGAACTCTCATCTTAGGGTCACTTTGAGGGACCCTTATGTAAAACTGCATATTGTAAAAATTGCTGTGGATGTCTGAATGTCAGTCACCAAATAACAACTATAAAATCAGAAGTAGCAAAGAACCCATAATTAAAACAGGATTAAGAGGCTGATCATAGCCAGATCCACTGACCCAGTATTTTCAACTCCTACCAAAATGGAGAAAACCCATGTCGAACTTAAAAGAAATTTAAGTTTCTTCATTTAATTTAATTTCATTGTAAATGAAGTTAGCTACAAAAATTTTGACAATAGATGATTTCAAAGAAATGAAACCTTATTGCTTAATTTAATAAACCTATTATAAGTTATTTCTTTTAACTCATACTATTATCTGAGAAACAAATCCCATTATTTGATTCAAGCTAGCTGTCTTTTTTTCCCCCCCATGGGAAAGTCATAGCTAAATACTGAACATAAATTATTAGCCTTCATCTTTGTTTTCCAGAATTTCCCATTTAGAATCCATAACATTTGATAATCATTCATGTTTCCAGGTCTCTCTGGGGTTTGGTTAATTTCAGTCTGATAAAGTTCCACTGAATTAAAGTATAAATTAAAGAAAAGGTGTTCTTCCTAGAAGTTTATGAACACCATTTTAGGGAAAGACTAAAAGCTTCTCTGGCTTTTTTTCTTTTATATGTTTATTTATGGCTTTTGAGAAAGACAGCATGAGCAGGGGAGGAGCAGAGAGAGAAAGGGAGAGAGAAAATCTCAAGTAGGTTCCACAGTCAGCACAGAGCCTGAGGTGGGACTCGATCCCACGACCCTGGGATCATGACCTGAGCTGAAATCAAGAGTCAAACACCCAACTGACTGAGCCACCCAGGTGCCCCAAAGCTGTAACTGGCTGTGATCAATTAATTGTAAACACCACTACACTCACACCAGCCATGGCTTTTTATCTCCTAGAGACAAAGTGACACAAGGGCAGATTTTGCTTGAGTAATACCTTCAAACCATTTTATTCTGTAATCAAATCCAATTTCTTTGGCAACTGTGTTTAATTAAGATTGACATTCTTACTTGTACTAACATCTTTCATTTATTACAGACACGGTAAAAACAAAATAGAAACCAAGTTATATTATTTATGGCTACGTTTTAATTTTTGTATGTGTGTGTTATTTTTCTTTAAGTTTTTATTTTAATTCCAGTTGGTTAACATACAGTGTTATATTAGCTCCAGGGGTACAGTACTGTGATTCAACAATTCCATATATTACCCTGTGCTCATCACAACAAGTATCCTCTTAATCACCATCATTTAATTAACCGATCCCCACACCCACTTCCTCTCTGGTAACCATCAGTTTTCTCTCTATAGTTAAGAGTCTGTTTCTTGGTTTGTTCTTCTCTTTCTTTTTCCCTTTTCTCATTTGTTCGTTTCTTAAAATCCACACATGAGTGAAATCATACGGCCTTTGTCTTTCTCTGATTTATTTCACTTAGCACAATACACTCTACCTTCATCCATATCATTGCAAATGGCAAGATTTCACTCTTTTTGATGGTTGAGTGTTATTCCATTATATATATACATACACCACATCTCCTTTATCCATTCATCAGTAGATGGACATTTGGGCTATTTCCATAGTTTGTCTATTATCGATAATGCTGCTATAAACGTGAGGGTGCATGTATCCCTTTGAATTAGTATTTTTGTATACTTTGGATAAACACCTAGTAGTGCATTGCTGGATTATAGGGAAGGTCTGTTTTTAACTTTTTTTGGAACCTCCACACTGTTTTTGCAGAATGGCTGCACCAATTTGCATTCCCACCAACACAGCAAGAAGATTTGCCTTTTAAGTCCCTGATACCCGACAGTCAGAAATATAACAACAACAAAAAATCTGGTAGCTAACAATGGTTCCAAGTGCTTTACACATATTAGTATACTTACTCTTCATAATAACCCTATGAGGATTATTATCATACCCATTTTATAGATTAGAAGACTGAAACGTACAGGGGATAAGTACTTACAGTCCATCAGACTTGACAGTATTGGAAGCTATGTGAGGCCCAGTCAGCATGGTTCCTGTTTAGACTCTTAACTGCTATGTCTCAACCTCTGTGAACCACTATGACTTGGCCTAGCCACAAGAAATTCCAAGACAGATTCTCACAATGACAGCAAGACATCATGCAATTTTACATCCTCTACTCAAGTATAGTTACATTTTATACCTTTTTTACACTTTATCAGGCTCAAGCCATAATTAGTGGGCTCTCATAATAGCAAATCATTATTGCTATTCACCCAATAGTGAAGGAAGCCATTACAGTAGTTAGCATAGCCATTTCCTCTATTAGAAATAAATGTCCCTTTACCTAATGTACAAAAAAAATCAATATGCTGAATGCCTTCCTCCAATAATCTTGGTTCAACTAGGAACTCTAAAAGTTAAGCTAAAATCTTGCCAGACAACATTTTTTAGAAGGATGAAAAGAGGTATAAAGGCCTTACAAATGTCCCAAATGCAGGACCTTAGTCACTGGAGAAGCCCAAAAGGTCCTCTCTTGCTTTCTATGTTTCATGCTGTATTGGGAGTATTCCTTGCTTTTTCTACTTACAATTATCCAGAGGGGGGCAAAAATCCAGATGCAAGCCTGGCATAATAAAGGAAATCTTGTGAATTTCATTCATTTTTTTTTCTTTTCATTATTTCTTATTCTTTGCTACTAGAGGCCATGCCTCTAGATACAAAGTCCATGAGCTCCTAGATCCAGGCCCATGATGGATGCCTACATGCCCCTAGTGTGTATGTCTAGACCTCATGCTCTAGCATGTTCCCAGGATCAGTCTTTCAGGGTCCACAACTAAAGCTTTCTGGGTCTGATATTTGGGTCTGACAATGCTTTGTTGTGGACTGTCCTATGCATTAAAGGATAGTCGGCAGAATCCTTGGCTACTACCCACGAGATGCCAGTAGTACCTCCTTCCCCAGTTACGACAATCCAGAATGCCTTCAGACATTGCCAAAAGTCTCCTGGGCTCAAAATCGCCTCCAGTTGAAAACCACTGCCCTGAATTAACAATTGCCAAGAACAGTGAAGTTTAAGGCAAGTAGGGTTCAGAAAGTATTTGGAACTGCAATGTTGCCTGCGGGTATGTTCTCAACTACCAGAAAGGAGTGGCAGTGAAAATCCCTACAACTGACGAAGTCTTAGGCTCACAGGTTCATGACTGACCACTTAGTTGGTAATAGAATTCTGCACTTAGTTATGTCTCTGGTTAGAAGGCAGCTAATTTTTCAGAGGCAGAAATATGATCTTTGGGGGATTAACAGAGTAGGAAAAGTGATAAATACTGAATTTATTGGTACATATACAAAATGCTGACTTTTATTAATATAACCCAGAAGACAAATTTAGCTTATCAAGTGGTGTTTGTTAGGTTAGTTATGCTTATATATATGCTGTTTTGTACTTTTTCATTTATTGAAAATCATAGACTTATATAAAATAGTATGAACATAAAGACTTCTCATGTGAGAATATAATGTGAAGCATAATAGCTTATGTGTACAGTATATTTCAATTCTATAACATATACACTGTATACATACTCAGACACCTACCCATCTATCTGTTACCTACCTGCCCCACAACCCCACCCCATCTATCTGCATATGTGCAGATGTCTGCACAGAAAACAACAACAACAACAACAACCCGGTTATCTACTGCACTGCAATATGGACTACTGTTTCCTTCTTTATAATTTTCTGTTTTCTAAATATTTATCCATAATTATAAAAAGATAAATGCTTTTAAAAGGAATTCATGAAGGCACAAGAGCCATTTGCTGTATTACTGCATTCGCAACTAGAAAGATGTAAACACATCTCTATAATGACACACACACTCTTTTACACATACACACACATTTTCTAACACTACATATGCTACATATAATATGTATTACCCTATAAAACTATATAA